TCAAAATCTTTGGAAGTCTGGGTGCGTTCAAAGTCTTTGTCTTCAGTGTCGGAGATCCTATCTTCTGCCTCATCCATCCTCTGAGGGAGGGATTCAATGGTGCTCTTCCAATCTGCAACCTCTTGTTTCAGTGTACCGTAATCCTTGATCATTTTATCTTTGAAATCATTGAATTCCTGGGACAGCTTATGAAAGATTTGAAATTCTATCTCTCTCTTTCCCTCCAACCTGTTGATCTTACTCCCTATCCAGATTCTGAACTCAATTTCTGATATTTCAGATATTTGTTTATGTAGTGGGTCTTCCATTGTGTCTACCCTATCCTTCTTTGGGGGAGTTAATCTACTCTGGTTATTCTGGTTGCCAGAGTTTTTCCGCTGATTCCGTCCGGTGTTGAATTTGCACCTTTCAGAAACCATCCCTAAAACTGTCCTTAAACTGTTCTGCCAGTGGCTGCTTCTAGTTTTCTCCTGGGCACAACCCAGCAAGACCCTGGGAGGCGGAGCCAGCAGGTGGGGTGATGCAGCCCACCCCTGCAGGAGTCAGTGTCACCGTCAAGGCCCTGGGAGGCAGGCGCAACCTGCCCCTGCAGAGGTCAGTTGTCCTTACTGGCGACCAAAGCCCAGGAGGCAGATGCACAGCTGGCAGGAGGCGAGACCCTCCCAGGCAGGAGCTGCTGGCGACTGCAAGCTGGCAAGGCCCCAGGAGCTGAGTGTGCGGCTGCCCAACCTGCCCCAGGAGAAGTCAGTTGTCCTTGCAAGCCACCAAAGCCCCAAATGCGGGATGGCGCAATCCTCTCCAGCAGGAGTTGGCGGTGATCGCGCAGCTGGGAGGTCCTGGGAGGCAGGCACACGTCTGCCCGACCTGCCCCTGCAGAAGTCAGCTGCCCTCACAGGCTGCCAAGCCCCAGGCGGGGTGCACCACTGACGGGATGGCGCGACCCTCCCCAGCAGGAGCTGCTGGGGACTGCCAGCGGACAAGACCCCGGGAGGCGGCGGGAGACTGCACAACCCGCCCAGCAGAAGTCAGTTCCCCTCACTGGCCACCAAAGCCCTGGAGGCTGGCGCATGACTGTCAGGATAGCGCGACCCTCTCAGGCAGGAGCTGGTGGTGATCCAAGGCCAGGGGTCCCCAGGAGGTAGACACGTGGCTGTCTGACCGCTCTAGAAGAAGTCAATTGCCCTCACCTGCCGCCAAAGCCCTGGAGACAGGCAAGCAGCTGGCGGGACCACGCGAGCCTCCCCAGCAGGAGTTGATGGCAGCTGTGGGCCAGCAGGGCTCCAGGAGTCAGGCAGCTCAGTGACCCAACCCAGCAGAAGTCAATCATCATCAAGGGCCACCAAAGACCCAGAGGCAGATGCCTGGCGGGATGTGTAGCCCTCCCTGTCCGGTGTCAATCTCGGTCATGGGCATCTAGGTCTCGGGAAGTGCAGATAGCAGCAGGGGAGACAGCTGAGCGCAGAATGCACTGACTGAGGGTGATCCGTCTGCATGCAGAAAGCGTGGATCAAGCAGTTCTCCCGGTGAAGGACTGGGACAGGGGCTTGGTCTTGAAAGGGTAGGTGGATGCTGTTCTTGGGTCTCCTCTCCCTATCTCTGCTGGCAAGGGAAGGGAGAGTGGACTGGAAACTCAAAATGGCAGCGCAAAGGCCAGTTCCACTTTTCTGCCTGGGGGAGGGTGTTCCGAGTCTCAACTGGGTTCCTCCAGGGTAGTAAACTTCCCTGTTGGCAGCTCTCACTCATGGAGTGAGAGAATAGGTCCTCACTTTATCGGTGGTCTGTAGGAGACTCGGAGGAGCAGTTGAAGAGGAATCAAAGGAAAAGCACACCTTTCTTGGGAAAGGGGATGGGCGCTATTCCTTTGGGGTGATTTATGTACCTGTGGATTGTCCTCTAGGAGTCTCCGCCTGTCTCAGAAGAGGTGTCCTGCTGGTATCACTCTTCTCTCTCAGCTGGGCTCCCAGTTTTCAACTTGTTGGGGGTTTCTCCCAAGAGAGGAAAGGACTTTATCCTTTCCTCTCAACAGGAGCTTCTGTCAGAGACTGGTGCCTGTCGGCCATCTTGACCCTCCCCCCTAGTTTTCATTTTTTAATAGTATTCCAATGAATTCTGGTTTACCTGTTTGTTTAATTATGGCTTTGTCCATTTAACAATGTTCTACCTAGTGCAAGGTCACAAAGAATTTCTCCTATACATCTAAAAGTTTTACAGTTTTTGTTGTTACATTTAAGCTTATAATCCATCTTGAGTACCTCTTTGTTCATGGTTTGAGATATGGATTTCAGTTCAATGTGGGGATATGGAAAGCCAGTTGTTCCAGAATCATATGCCAAAAAAGCCATTGTTGGTCCCCTGCATTGATATTACACTTTTGTTGAAAAGAAGTTGTCTGTACACATGCTGATCTGTTTCTAGAATCTCTGTTGTGTTCCATTGATCTGCAGTTGCTCCTCAAATATAGAGCTATGTCCTGATAAATGATCATAATTAAAAATCCACTTAATGCCCCCAATAAATCCTTCAAAAAGGGGGAAAATTCTAAGTCAAACCATTTTAAGTTTGGCTGCCATTATACAAGTTGAGCATCCCTATTCCAAAACTCTGCAATATGAAAGACTCCTAAATCAGAAAATTTTTTTTACTTTTTATTTTATTTTATTTTATTTTATTTTTTGATGCAGAGTCTCACTATCTTGTGTTCAGTAGAGTGCCATGGCGTAACAACTCACAGGAACCTCAAACTCTTGGACTTTAGCAATTATCTTGCTTCAGTACCTGGGACTCCAAGCACCTGCCACAATACCTGGCTAATTTTTTGTTGCTGTTGTCATTGTTGTTTAGTTGGCCTGGGCCAAGTTCGAACCTGCCACCCTTGAAATATGTGGCTGGCACCATAACCACTGGGTTACAGGCACCAAGCTGTAAATCTGAAACTTTTGGAGTGTCACCATAATACCACAAGTGGAAAATTCCATACCTGACCTCATGTAAACAAACTTTGCTTCATGCATAAAGTTATTGAAAAGCTTGTATAAAATTATCCTAAGACTATTGTAAGATATATATAAAACCTAGGTGTAATGTCACGTTTAGATTTAGGTTTCATCCCCAAGATGATCTCATTTTATGTATGCATATGTTTCAAGATCTGAAACACTTTTGCTCTCAGGCATTTTCGATAAGGGACACTCAAGCTGTGCCTGTATCATGTTCTTCTAGTTACTATGGATTTATACAATTCTTAAGAGCACCCCTCCAATTTGGTTATATTTTTCAGGGTTATTTTGGTGTATGAATGCTAGAATCAGCATGTCAATTAAAAACAAGTTACTTGGAAGTGCCTGTGGCTTAGTGGGAAGGGCACCGGCCCTGTATACTGAGGGTAGCGGGTTGAAACCTGGCCCTGGCCAAACTGCAAACAAAAAATAGCCGAGCATTGTGGTGGGTGCCTGTAGTCCCAGCTACTTGGGAGGCTGAGACAAGAGACTTGCCTAAGCCCAGGAGTTGGAGGTTGCTGTGAGCCGTGATGTCACAGCACTCTACCAAAGGTGACAATGTGAGACGTCTCTAAACAAACAAACAAACAAGTTACTGGCCTACTAGGAACTAGGTTGTGCTTATGATGCTTCTATAGGTTAATCTGGAGAAAATTGACTTCTTAACAATAATGAATTGTTTCATTCCTGAACAAAGTGTGTTACTTTATTTGTGAAGTTTATATTTAGTTTTCTCAGTAATATTTTGCACTATCCAGTATACGTCCTTCCTATTTATTGTATTTATCTGTTTTTTATGTTGTTACAAATGACATTTTAAAATTTTTTGCTTTTATATTTTAATGCTAATAGTATTTAAAAATACAGTTGATTTCTGTATGTTGATTTTATATTCATCAACTTGCTCATTTATGACTTCTAGTACCTTTTTTGATAGATTCAGTGAGATTTTCTAAATGGACTGTACGTATGTTTGCTTTCTCAAACTACTTTCTTCATGGATGTGAAGAAAAGGGAACACTTCTGCACTGCTGGTTGGAATGCAAGCTAATACATTCCTTTTGGAAAGAAGTTTGGAGAACTCTTAGGGAATAAAAAGTAGACTTGCTGTTTGATCCTGCAATTCCTCTCCTATATCTAGATGGCCAAAAATCATTTTACAACAAAGATATTTGCACCAGAATGTTTGTTGCAGCCCAATTTATAATTACCCAGTCATGGAAGAAGCCCAAGTACTCATTAACCCATGAATAGATTAATAAACTGTGGTATATGTATACCATGGAATGTTATGCAGCCTTAAAAAGGATGGAGACTTTACCTATTTTGTGTTTACATAGATGGAGCTGAAATATATTCTTCTTAGTAAAGTATTTCAAGAATGGAAGAAAAAGTATCCAATGTACTCAGTATTTTTAAGAAACCAATATACAATCACCCCCACTTTCATATGAAAGATAAAACAAAACTATCACCCAGAATGAAGGAGGAAAAAGGAGAGTGAGGGGAGGGAGCAGGTAATTTTGGGGACCTCACCTATAGTGCATATTGCAAGGGTACATGTCAAATCTATTAAGAGTAGAATATAAATAGGTCTTAACACAATAATTAAGTTAGGTGAAGGCTATGATAAACAGTTTGATGTAAGCATTCCAAATTGTATATAAAATCAGCCCATTGTACCCCATAATGCATTAATGTACACAGTTATGATTTAATAAAAAATTATTAAGAGAAAGAATAAAAATATAGCAAACATTTTAGACCTGTTGCAAAACAAACTCTGATGTAGCTCATCAATTCTGTTATTGTAGTATGAGAGTAGTCATACAGCAGAGAATACAGACATTAATGAACATCTGTGTTCTCATGAAACAAGGCTAGCTCACAGTTTGGAGTTCACCCACCCCTATTATGTGATCATGATTGTAAATAAATATCACGTTTTATTTCTTCCTTCCAACCAGGAAGCCTTTTATTTCTGTTTCTGGCTCACTGTACTGGCCAGAATCTTCAGTGCAATGTTGAATGACAGTACTGAAAGCAGCATTCCTATGTTGTTCCTGGTCTTAGAGAGAAAGCATTCAGTTCTCCCTATGACACCTGTTAACTGAAAGTTTGTCACAGGTGCTCCTTATCATGCTGAAGTAGTTCCCTTGTATTCTTAGTTTGCTGAGAGTGTTTTAAAATTAAGAATGAGTGTTGAATTTTTTCTCATGCCTCCATCTACTGAGATGATCATATAATTCTCTTTTGTTTTGTAATATGGTGAATAACAGAGATTTTTGAATGTTATGTGAACCCTGTGTTCCTGGGATAAAACTCATTTGTTTATAAGGTATTATCAATTTAATATATCTTTGAATTTTATTTGTTAAAGTTTAGTTTAGAATTTTTTAAAGACTTCATTTTTTTAGAGCCATCTTATTTTATTTATTATTTCAGATTAATATGAGGGTACAAACAATAAGGATACATTGTTTGCTTTTGTTCGGTAAAATACAAGTTGGAATTGGGCCCTTCACCCAGGGACTTTGCTGTACACCCTTTCATTGTGCCCCTAGGACAGAGATTACCCATCCCCTTCTCTCCTTCCGTCTTCTTGCTTCCTCATTCCCCTTTCCTCACCACTTGAATTTCATTGTGTTTTTTCTCTCATGTGGGCATGTGGTTGTGCATCTACTGGTTTCATATGAGCATTCAATAAATTGGATACTTGTTTTCCTATTATTGTGATATATTTCTAAGGAGAATGTTCTTCAACTCTATCTAGGTTAATATAAAAGATGTAAAGTCTCCAGCTTCTATGGCTGAATAGTATTCCCTAATTCCATAGTATACACATACCACAGTTTTTAATATCTTCATGAGTTGATACCACATCTTGGCAATTGTCAATTGAGCTGCAATACACAATCTAGTTAGCAAATGTCATTATGATAAAATGATTTTTTTTCTTCTGGGTAGATGCCTAGTAATGGGATTGTGGGATCATCTGGAAGGTCTAATTTGAGTTCTGAGGATTCTCCATACTTCTTTCCGAAGAGGCTGCATTAGTTTTCAATCCCACCAACAGTGTAAAAGCATTCCCTTCTCTCCACATCCATACCAGTATCTGTAGTTTTGGGACTTTGTGATCTGAGCTGTTCTTACTGGAGATAGGTGATATCTCAAGAAGGTTTTGATTTGCATATCTCTGATGATTAGGGACAATGAGCATTTTTTCATGTTTGTGTTTTAAAGTCATTTTAAGTTCACAGCAAAACTGAGAGGAGGGTACAGAGGTTTCTCACATGCCCCCATCCTCATACTCATAGACATACCCACTTGTCAATATCACTCACCAGAGTGGTATACAACAAGTGGTTGTTACAATTGATGAACCTACATCAACACATCCTTATCATCCAATGCCCTTAGCTAAACCTGGGTTTACTCTTGATGGTGTACATTCGATGGGTTAGGGAAAAGATGTAATACCATCTATTCATTATTACAACATCATACAAAGTATTTTCATGGCCCTAGAAATCCTCTGTGCTCACTCTGGCTATGTATCCTTTCTTCTCCTCTCCAAACCCTCCAACCATAATTTTTTTCTTTTTATTGTGTGGATAGTTTTGCCATCTTCAGAATATCATATCATTGAAATTTTACAGTATGTAGCTTCTTTTAGGTTGGCTTCTTTCACGTGATGATATGCACTCATGGTTCCTTGATGTCTTTTCATGGCTTGATGACTGCTTCTTCTTGGCACTAATATTGTATGGCTGTTCCACAGTTTATTAATTACGTAATGGATGATATCTTGCTGGCTTCAAAACTGATTGTAGTTTTACATCTATGCTCAGGAGAGTTTTTTTTTTTTAATATCATTGTCTGGTTTTGGTTCAGAGTAATGCTAGAGTTGTATCAATAGAATGAGTTGGGGTGAATTCCTCCTCTTTATTTTTTGGAGAGTGTGTAGAATTCTATCTGGGCTTGGAATTTGCTTTGTAGAAAGGCTTTCAACTATAACTTTATTTTCTTTAACAGACTTAGGGTGATTGAGGTCATTTTTCTTCTTGATTAAACTTTGGTATTATAATTTTTCTTTTTCAAGAAATTTGTCCATTTGATCTAAGTTGTAATGTTTATTCACACAAAGTTCATAATATTACCTGATTTTCCTTTTAGTACATGTAGAATCTATAATAAGTAGCAGTTCTCATTCCTGAAATTAGAAGCTTGTCTTTATTCTTTTTCCAGGTCAACCTGGCTAGATGAAGGTTTGTCACTGTTATAGATTTCCTAAAAGTGTATCACCTTATTGATTCTTCTCTATTGGTTTCCTCTTTAATAGCATAGTCTTTTCAGCCTGCTATAGCAAATACCACAGATGAGGCAGTTTAAAAGTAAAGAGAAATTGATCAGTCACAGTTCTGAAGACTATGAATTTCAAGATCAAGCACTAGCAGATTTGGGTCTCATGATGGATCACTTCCTGGTGAATTCTTTTTCACTGTTTCCTTACACAGAAAAGGGGTGAGGGAGCTCTCTGGGGCCTTTTTTATGAGGGCATAATTCCATTTGTGAGGGCTTGGCCTTCATGACCTAATCACCTCTAAAAAGAGCCACCTCCCAATACCATCACCTCTGTAATTCAGTTTCAGCACATGAATTTTGGAAAGACATAGATATTCAGATACTAGCTGATGTTTATTGTTGCCTTTCCTCTCCTTGTTTTGGGTTTAATTTTTCTCTTCTCTTCTCTCTCTCTCTCTCTCTCTCACTATATATATATAGTGTACATATATATATGTAATTTCTTAAGGTAGAATTCAAGGTCATTAATTTGAGACTCTTCTAATATAGACATTCCGTACTAACACTTTTTATTTAAGAACTGTTGTAGCTATATTTTAAAATTCTGTAATATTGTGGTTTCATTTTCATTGTGTTCAAAATGCTTTCTAGTTTCTCTTTTCATTACCCATTTGCTCCAGGGTGGCTTAGATGTGTCTTTCTTACTGAATATTTGGGTATTTTCCAGAGAAATTTTTGTCATTTATTTCTAACTTGATTGCACTTATCTATTTTGATAATTGTTCCATGGGTGCTGGAGAAGAATGGTGCTGCTCAAGTCTATTCTTGCTGATTTTCAGCCTCCCTGTTCTGTCACTTACTAATGGGTATTGAAATCTCAGATAATAGTTGTGAATTTTTTTTTTTTTACAATTCTATCATTCTTTGCCTCATATATTTTGAAACTGTTATGTTACTGGGTACATAACAATTTAGGATTCTTATGTTTTCTTGATTAATTGTACCTTTTTTCATTGTGAAATGACCTTGTTTGTTAGGTCTTGCTTTTTTATCCAGTCTGACAAACAGCATTCTTCTCAATATTTTTTTAGACTGGCTTCATTTATGTGATTAATGATATAGTTACTTTTCTCCATCATCTTACTGTTTGATTTTTATTAGTCACAGCCAGTCTTTGTTGCCCCACTCCTATTTTTGCCTAATTTCTTTTGGATGACTCACATAATTTTTATAATTTGTTTCTTTAATCTCTTTGAATGATTAGCTGTAACTCTTGGTTTTTTTTTAACTTAATGGTGGCTTCAGGATTTTAGTATATGATTTTGACTTACCACAGTTAACATTTAGATACTATTATCCTACATCACATAAGGAAGAAGAAAATGGCAGCAGAATACTTTCATTTTTTCTCTCCAAGCCAGATCCTTCTTGCATGTAGGGTATTATAATTTTCATTAAATTGAAAAAGATTTTGGCCATTTTTTTATCGAGTATAATTTGACTCTTTTCCTCTCTCCTTAGGGACATATATTACATCATTAAAGGTTTCTCATAGATCACAAATATCTCATTTTTATGAATATTTTCTTTCATGATATCTAATCTTTTTTTCTATCTGGTATAGTCTGACTCTCTGACATTATAATTTACATGTCTATCAGTTCAGTTTGTTTTGTTTTGTTTTGTTTTTAATGTCTTCCATGCCCATACTTATCCTCTTAAACTTTACATAGGGATAGAGTTGAGTTACTTATAAATAGCTTGGCCCTTTCTGCTCTTGATTTTATAATTTGGGATAATACCCTACTCAAAAGGCAAGACCTATTTCATGATTGTCTTATGAAGTCTGTGTTTTTCCAGCCTTCATCATGGTAATGGACACTTCCTGGCACTGTATGAGCACCAGGCTTAGTTTACCCTGATGGTTTCTAGATAATTTTTCTCTTGGTCTCAAGTAATTCCTAGCATATATGCACAGTTGACTACTCTGATAAATACCTGAGAGGGGATCTCCACACATTCCCAGATTCTTTCACTATACTGCTTTCTCCTCTTCAGTTGCTATCCTGTGATCTCTGTCTGCTTTGGTCTTGTCAGACTCTCAACTTACTCAACTGCAACTAAAGGATTCTGGTAGAGTCTAGGTCAGTTTTTATTTTGTTTTGTTTTGTTTTGTTTCCAAATGTCCTTCCCTGAAAACTCTGTCAAGGCAGGGATCTGGGGCATTCCTAAGGCTTCCTTTACTTGTTTTCTATTTTTCAAGGATCTTTGTCTTTGTTGCCTAAACTCTATTGTCTTAATAATAACTGTTTAATAAGTTTTGGCTGGGTTTTATTTTTGGGAGGGGGGTAAGATGGAAAATTAACACCTGTGCCCCTGTCTTGGCTAGAAGGAGATTGCAGTAGAGCTCCCCCAGTCCATGCTCTGGACTGGCCAGCATGCTTTTATTCTTGCTTTATTTTACTGCTTTCGTCTCATCCTTCATTTATCAGTGTAGCCATCTCTTCCTCAGAGAAATCTTCCCTGGGCCCAGTATAGATTAAATTCTCTTACGTAACATACTAATTTTCTTACAGCACCTATCTGAATTAATAATTGTCGCATTTTTGTCTTTGTTATCAATTTACTTCAAGCTAAATAAGAGCAGAGGTCATGTCTAGTCTGCAGAGCTCAGTATCACATATCCCCCACTGTACCCACTGAGTTATATTTGTCCAATGTGTGAGTGAATGTGAGAATGTGCAGCCCTTTCTATACACAAACTGCTCCTGTATTCTCTTTCTTTTTTTCTCCCTGATACAGATTCTGTTAACCAATTGGAAATTGAAAACACAGCTTTTCCCTGTGAAAGCCATGCAGAGCTTAATAAAAATTACTATAAAAAACTTACAGATAAAATCAGAGCACAGGAAACTACGATTATTTTACTAAAAACGAAGCTATCCGAAACAAAAGAAATAAACTTACAGTTATACCATCAAAGATGTGAATGGGAGCAAAAACTCCACAGTTTGAGGTATGACATCCTAGTTTTAAAGAAACATTTGAACCATTTTTTTAGAAATATTTATTTGATCACTTCTCAGCCTTTTGGCTAAGATCAAGTGTAGAAATATTTATTTGAACTATGTATTTATATGTTGGGGAATTTTTGAAATTGCTGACATATCATCTGGTGTTTAATAAGAGAGAAGAATAAGTGCTTAATTGTAATTACATCTACTGATAATTAAATATATATTCTTTTAAATCATAATTTTAATAGCTATATGAGAAGTTCACCATAGGGAAATCTCTATTTATTTAACAAATTGAATTTGGAATTTTAAATATTTGTATTATAATTAATACTGTGATGAACATTTTTACACAAGTCTTACATTTCAAATTATATGCCTTTAACATATTCTTCAATACAGAATTCTTGGGTTAAAGTAATCTTATGAAAATGACTTTGATCAATATTTTGAAATTGTTCTTAAGAACATTTACACAAATTTATAATTCAACCAACAGAATTGAATTGGCTTTTTCAACCCAGAGAAAGTTTCCTAAGGAAATTGTATACTTTGTTTTTATAATGCAGGAAATAAGAAGGAAAATGGAAAGTACTACTGATTAGCTTGCTCAACATCTCTCCTACACAGATAAAATTAATTCAAACTTTTGTATTGAAAACATATGATTTTTAATTGTTTAATTAAATGTTTGACCTTGTCATTTTCCAAAGGAATTTCAGAATTGTTTATAATATGTATCAGCATCAACAAGTAACTTGAAATTATCACCCAAAAGAGAAACACAGAACATGTGGGTAGCATACATAAAACTCCTTAGCCCCAACTTGGACTATAGCAGTCTGCAGATATATGTTGTTTGAGAGACATCTGAATGAGCTCTCCTACACTGCTAGTCACTTTCAGGAATGCTTGTGCTGTTTTGTGGGAATGAACATTTCCCTCCCGTGAATTCATAAACTTATTTATAAATGGTAAACTTTGGTTAGTTTACTCTCCATGATCTGTCCCAGCTGGAGAGTAATTATGACTACGTAAAAAAAGTAATTTTCAATATCCTTTCCCAGACTAACTAAACTAACAGAAACTTACCAATTAGGAGAATGTTCTTTCATGTCTACCTTTCTTGTGTACATGTCTTTTGGGAGAAATTGAAGTGAGAAATTCAAAACCTTAGAACTAGAAAGAAAAAATATTCAAGAACACAGACATTTTATTAGATAATCAATGAAGATATGAAGAGTCAGGTCTCAAAATGAACTTTTCATTCTCTAACAAAATGAATTTTAAGATAAGTATATTTAACTGCAGAGTCACGTTAAAAGAAAAGGAAGAGATGCGAAAAAATGATTCTATAGCATTTGAACAAATTAAGGAAAAGTTAACAAGAAAAATAGAGCAATATAGAAAAGAAGTTGCAATAAAAGAAGAATTTGAACATAGACTGAGAGTCCAAGATGTGGAATTGAGGACCCTTAGAAATAATCTGGAGGTAAATTAATCTTTGGTTAATGTCACATTTATTATTTTACTTCATCACTGTGTGTAATGTCCCTTTGATTCAATATTTATTATAAAGTTGTTTATTATAAATATTGGCATCCAAGTAGTATCTTATTTCAGTACAAAAAGTTCTGGAAAATGATATGCCTTAATAAATACTTAATGATGACTTATTAGGTGTTTTGTTCCTAGTAAAATAGTTCAGTGTATTTTCCCCTATTTCACATTTATTACAACTTCAAACATTCTGAAGAGGAAACGAAATATATTGCAATCTCAAGCAATCTCATGACTGTCTAAGAAGACCTCTGTAAATTTTATCTTATTTATCATTGGTGTTTTGAAATATAAGGCTTATTTTGCATTTATATATTTATACCAGAGAGGTAATTATGATCTGGTAGAGAAACCTTATGGAGTAGGGTCAGAAGACTGAGGAAAATCCTGCAGGGGGCTTATATTTTTAACCTCTTCTTTTCAGAATTGTGATAAGTAACTGAGTTAATTGATATATAGAGAAATGCTTTGCACAATTCCTAGATTTATCACTTCTCAATAGATGTAATTGTTATAACACAAGATAAAAATATTAGAAGAGTAGAACATCTATAGAATACTCTCAGAAAAAAATGTAAAGAACGTTGGCAAATTTTGCCTGTTCTAGTATACACAGAGCTGAGGCTCCTACTGTGGAGTGGAATGTTGGTTGGATACCAGAGTGTACATCCAACTTTCTGGTGTGTCACAGTTATTAGAGTTTTGTGCATTTGTATTTGTTGTAATTCAAAGAAAGCCTTTTCCAATTTGGAGATTCATAAAAATTCTTCAAAGATTTCTTTTTTGCTTTCAGAGATTCATTGCATTCATGTAATTTTTGAAATTTCAGGAATTTATATTCTACAAGGTTTGAGGTTTGGATCCAGCTTCTTTGCCCAATTAGCTGCTTTTTGCAACACTTTCATTTCATAAATGTGCAGGTTATTCTTTAAATTCTAGGGAAATCATGATATATTATTTTATTGAGTGATAGCTAAAAGTTTTCTTTCTTTTACTTAGAATTCTCAGAAGCATGAAAATGAAAGAGATCTTCTGAATGAAGAAATTGCCAGGCTACGATTCAAAGTAGAAAGAATAAAAATGCAGAATGAAGGGAAAGACAAGAAATACTTGCAGGACTTTGAAATTATGAAAGAAAAGGCTTTTGGCCTTCAAAATACTGTAAAGCTCTCTGAGGAAAGGTTAATGAAAGTAACAGCCCAGTATAGTGGCCAGCTCAACATACTAGGAGAGGAGAATAAAGTACTACACGCTAAACTGAAGGAAGCAAAAGAAAAGGAGGAAAAACTGGAAGGAGAACTTGAATCGCACCGTCTCAGACTGGCAGATGCTATCCGTGAGCGTGACCAAAGTCAGGTCTCCCAAAGAGACCTGGCCTTCATTGTCCAAAGAACAAAAAAAGAGTGGTCTAGTACACTGGAATATATGAATTCTCGTGCTGATATCCTTTTCCAACATCTTTGTAATGCAGAAGAGAAATTCAATTGCCTGCAAGCTGAGTTCTGTCGCATGAAAGATGCTCTTCGAGAGAAGACTTTTGCTCTAGAAGGTGCACAGAGAGACCTGAGGGAAGCACAGTTTGAAAAGCAGAACATTCAACTAAAGTATCTACGTGAACAAAGTACAGGGAGTACGTACATCGTGAAGCAGGAGTCTTTAGAGCAGAGACTGTCTGGACTGCAATATAAAACTATGTCACTTCAGCAACAGCTGGATGACGTTCACAAGGATTCTGCTGATAAAGAGAAGGCAACAGACACCCAAGATAGTCTGTGTGCAGCAGCAGTGAAGGCTCTTGAAGTAGTGCATGAAAGGAATAGTCTGCTTTTGGAAGAGAAAAACAAGCAGTTGCTTGAGGAATGCAGTCACTTAAAAGACAGACAGTACCAATATAAAAAAGAGAAAGTGAAAAGAGAAGTAAGTATCAAAAATTAAATATTTTTCAAACTTCCTAAAAGAAAAGTGAAGTGGTATTTGGTAGTGACTAAGCATTGTATCTGGTTGAACATGAGAATATCTAGATCTGTATTTGTGCTATCAGCATAGAAACAAACCTGTTTCCAGCAAATAAAAGTTAGAACTGAGAGATGTTTTACTTTGAGTAAAAACATTGTGTTTACTCAATGTGAAATTTTGAGAGTTTAAGTTATAAATTGTTAATAGACATAGAGTAAAAATGTTGAAATCATAATTTTAGTGTCTTTATGTTGCCTCATTTTAAGACAAAGATGAAGCAGAAAAAAAAAGTGAGTAGGGAGATGCCTTGGGGTAGGAATTGTAGGAGTTGAGGTCAGGGAGGGAAGTGGAGGCCAGCTTATTTAGGACCTGGGGGAGCCATTGGAATTTTACTTTTATTCTAAAATAGGAATTACTGGGAGAGTTTAAGCAGAGGATTGAATTTGTGAGAAACTCTGAGGCTGATCTGAGCTTCTAATCCAAAAGAAATAAACCATTTTACAGGGTATAATTTGCCACCACTATCCCACCCACATGCCTATGAATCCTTTGTTATGCATTTCACATTCCTTTTAAGCCTTCAGTTGGTCCTTATGCATTTCACACTCATGAGGGGAGGAATGAATAGAGGACTGAATCTGTTGTCTGAGCAACAGAATACTGACTTGGGGGGAAGGTAGAACTTTCCTTAGTGTCCTTAGCCAAGTTTAGTGGTCAACAGGAATGTGTACACATGAGGAAAAGAAGGTGAGTCAATGTATGTAATGATAATCTATATTTGTTAGAGTTAAATATTATTAACACATCCTAATAATAAGGTGTTTATAAGATCAGTAACAAAAATATCTTGCCAGGTAGTTTTGAGACAACTTCGCCAAGAACTGTGGGATACCAAGCAGAAACTATCCAGATCAGAGATTTTACTAGAAACTACATCATGTCATCACATTCATTTAGAAGACGAGACCCAAAATTCAATGAGAAAAATAAATCAGATGACAAATCAAGTATGTATGAAGTTAACATGCCAACAGCTCATTTAGAGCTGATTTAATAACATAAGATGTTTTAGAATACTAGCTTCAGGTGACAGCTTTCTTTTTATATTTTCATTATGAGTAGTTTTCGTACAATTTTATTATCTTTATCATGCACTTATTTCTTAAATTCTGACTTTCATTCTGCCACTTTTCCTTAAAATTACATATGAGCATGCCATATTTTCTTATAATATATATCCTTAGGAAAGTTGAGGATTACACATCATTTTTTACAGAAGTTGAGAGACATTTTTCCTGTTAAACAGTAGTTTTCTGTGATTTCTCTATTGCCATTGTGAGGCAAGCCAGATTAATCAGGGTACTGTCTAATGAATTGTTCCAGAACATATCTTCACTTTTGTGAATGGATACAAAATCTGTGTATACTTATTTCATAGATTTCAGGTTAACTCATAGAGAAAGGCCTTTATACTCTTGTGTAAAATGAAAATGTTTTAGGTTAATTTATAAACTCTTTGTAAAGTTAGTTTCCTTCATTTTCATTTTACTTTAATTATATTGTAAAAGCATAGAAATATTTAAGTCTTGGATAGGAGGTAGGGCGCTTGGCCCTATATACCAGAGGTGGTGGGTTCAAACCCGGCCCCAGCCAAAAACTGGAAAAAAAAAAGAAAATTATCCAGATCCTGCCATTGGATTATTAAAAGCAAATGTATTGAGGTCTCATTCACATACCATGCAGTTCACCACTTAATGTCTCTTAGTATATTCACAGAGTTGTGTAACCATCATCACAATCAATTTCAGAATATTTGCATCACTGTGAAAAGAAACTCTGCATCTTGTAACAATAACCTCCACCCTCATCTTATCCCTACACATTCCCCAGGCCTGGGCAACCACCATCTACCTTTGTCTCCATAGATTTGCTTATCTAGACAGTTCTTTTTTTTGGGGGGGGGGGGCTTTATCAGTCTAATTTTATTTTAATTTTACTTTATTTTTTTCAGGGGGTGTGTTATACACCCTCACAATGTGCACAATAGGTGAGATCTCACCTTGTGCCCTCCCTCATTCTGCCAAAAATTCCCCCCCAATTCGCTTTACCCCCAAACCGAACAATAAGAGTGTTTTATTGTTCTTATAAGCATGTAATTGTTTATATATTGGTTTCATATTAGTATGGAGTGCATTGGATTAGTTTCATATTAGTATGGAGTGCATTTTTCCATTTTTGCGGTACTTTAGTAAGAAGAATGTATTTCAACTCCATCCAGGTAAATGTAAAAGATGTAAAGTCTTCATCTTTTTAAATGGCTGAATAATATTCCATGGAATACATATACCAAGGTTTGTTGATCCATTCATGGGTTGATGGGCACTTAGGTTACTCCCATGACTGGGCAATTATGAATTGAGTCACAGTAAACACTCTAGTGCACTCTTAAACACTCTTTGTGGTTAAATAATTTTTGTTATTCTTGGTAGATACTTAGTAATGGGAATGCAGGGTCAAATGGAAGGTCTACTTTTACATCTTTGAGGATCCTTCATACTTCTCTCCAAAAAGGCTGTAATAGTTTCCAATCCCACAAGCAGGGTAGAAGCATCCCTTCTCTCCACCTCCCCGCCAGTATCTGGTTTTCTGGAACTTTGTGATGTGGACTGATCTTGCTGGGGTTAGGTGATATCTTAGAGTGATTTTGATATGCATTTCTCTGATGATTAATGACAATGAGCATTTTTTCACATGTTTGTTGGCCATTCATCTGTCATCCTCAGAGAAGTTTCTGTTCAAATCTCTTGCCCACTTGTAGAGAGGGATTTTTGTAGTTTTCTTATGGTTTAATTTGAGTTCTGAGTACATTCTAGTTAACAGGCCTTTGTCAGATTCATAACATGCAAAAACCTTCTCCCATTTTGAAGGCTGTCTGTTTGCTTCATTTGTAGTAGCCTTCGCTGCACAAAAGCTTTTTAGCTTGATCAAGTCCCAGGTATTTATTTTTGATGATTTTGATTTTGATCTTCTTATTCAAGAAGAATCAATTTTTGTCAATGGTGAGAGGTGCAGGTCCAGTTTCAGTCTCCTACATATGGATAACTAGTTCTTCCAGCACCATTTGTTAAGTAAGGATTTTTTTCCTCACTGCATGCTTTTTGTAGGCTTTTCAAAGATTAAATGGTGATATGTGTTCATATGAATGAACCCATATGTCTGGGTTCATCTCTAAATTCTCTATCCAATTCCATAGATCCACATCTTTATTTTTGTGCCAGTACCACACTATTTTGTAGATAGTTCTTATAAATGGAGCCATATAATACTTACTCCTTTGTGACTGGCTTCTTTCACAGCATGTTTTCAGGATGAATCTATGTTGTAGTATGTATCATTACTTCATTTCTTTTCATTGTCTTTTCTATTGTGTGGTCCTATTGGTAACCCATTCATCACTTGATGAACCTTTAGGTTTGTTTCCACTTTTTGCCACTAGTGCATCACAGTGCCATGAATGTTAATTTGCAAGTTATCAAGTGGACATGTTTTTATTTCCCTGCCATTGACTACCATCTTCAGTTAGTTGGTGGATTTGACCATCTCTCTGCCTTATTCGTGTTGTGCTTCCCACTTTTCTAGCTTCTGATCATATCACCTCATTCATTCAAACCTGGGCATAATTTCTCCTTCTTCATGAAACTTCCTCTGAGTGTTCTGACTTTCACTGACTTTATGCTTCAGTACTTGTTGTCTAGTCTGTGCAGAATAAGTTAGTCCTTCATTTGGCATTGCTTTTTTTTTTTCATGAGAAGTCATCTTGTTCAATTATAAATTTCTCTAAGGTGGGAATAATATCTAAATTGTATATAAAACCAGCACATTGTACTCTGTAATTGCATTAATGTACACAGCCATGATTTAATAAAAAAAATAAGATATGCCTATAACTTATCCTTATATAAATTGAAAATAGCTTAACAGTTGTTAGAATACAATTAAATAATTTATACTATACTGATAATTGATATAACAAAATTTTATTCTAAATCTATTTTAAGCAATTAAATATAAAATTAGAACTAATTTATTTTTAAAAAAACAGGAAAAACTCTTTCTTGCTATTATTTCTAATTTTCTCTATTTGGGATATATATTTCAGTGACTTTTTCCCTAGTTATTTTATGATCTTTAATTAATAGATGGTTTTTACCACAGTTTAGTGGAAAGTATTTTTTAAAATATGTCTACTTGTTGATTTATCCATTGCAATATATTCCCAATGAACTTAGAGATTGTGGAATTAAGGAAATTCTCTGGAAAGAAGACAAAGGGGAAACTTGCCCTTTTCCCCTACATTGGTTCACTGAAGAGATGAACTCACAGTTATAGTACATTATTTAGAGAAAGGTTTATTTCCAAATACTATGCGCATGGGGGGAACCACAAGAATGATTTCCCAAAGTTTCAGTGATAGTGGCTTTTAGACCAAAAATCATGCTACAATACAGATATCTGTACCAGGATGTTCATTGCAGCCCAATTCACAATCGCTAGGTCATGGAAGAAGCCCAAGTGCCCATCGACCCATGAATGGATCAATAAATTGTGGTATATGTACACCATGGAATACTACACAGCC